TGTGAGTGTGGCCCGTTTGGCCTACGTCCGGAGATGTGTCGATGAGTGTGGCCCGTTTGGCCTACGTCCGGAGACGTGTCGATGAGAGTGGCCAGTTTGGCCTACGTCTGGAGATGTGTCGATGAGAGTTTGGTCTACTGTTCGCACCACTTTGCAAAACCCAAGGGAGATGTCGTATAGCAGTGTAGCTCGGAAGTCCGAGTGTCGTATCCACAGAGAGCAGTGTAAAGAAAATAACAGAGATGAAAAAGAACAATTATGATTGAGAGGTAGATTTATGCAAGATTTGATTTAGAGAAAATTTAATTGATTAAAACACTAAGGCATTGGGGTTCCACTTTTAACATAAGCATGCAACTCTTAATAATTTGATCCACAAAATATTTTCCATTGTAGTTGTTCAAAATAATTAAAGCTCTTTTTAATTTCCTTTAGAAGTATTCTAAGCATAACTTGTACCATTGGCAACAAACTATCAAAAAATAAACTTCATCGAAATTCTATTAATCTTTAGTAATTCTCTTCTCTTTTAAAAGCATGAAAGTTTTTACTACACAATGGGAAAAACATGATTGAACCCATGAAATAGATTATCAAACATTCATCAATTAATTAAAAAGAAAACTACAAATTCCATTTGAACAAAAAACTACAAATTCACATTAAAGCTTAAGTTTGGATCAAACTAATAAAAATTACACACTTATATTAAAAGCTTTCTCCCTAGCCTTAGCTAGGGAGTTAGTTCCCCATAAAATAAAACTAAAACAGAAATTTAGAACTAGAAGAATTGGAGGAAGGAGAGAGAGCTCAAGAGAAGATTGTGAGCTTGGTGTATTTTCCTTCTATGGCAACACTCTATTTATAGAGAATGGGAATTGCTCATGTTGCAACTTGCTTTGATTAAACTATTATTCCACCTTGCTACTACCAAGTGTTTCACCCGTCAATTGCCATCAAATGCTTCCTTTTGCTTAATTCATTGTGTTGATGACTCCACTTCCTCTTGCTTTTGTTATTCAATCTCTTTTATTTTGGCTAAGTGCGGCACCTTCTATCTTCATTCTTCATTTAATTTGCTGCACTCATAAATTTATTATTCCATGATTCCAAATCTTCTCAAGCCACCATCCAAACAACAATTGTTTACTTCCATTAAGTCTTGTTTGTTGCTTCATCCACTTCATGTTTTTCTTTCTTACTCTTTTATGTGTGGTGGGTATGAACATAGCCAATGAACCTCAAAGTCTAGCTACAAAGAGATAAACACACAAAATAATATCAAATTAAATAAAATTAGTTACTAACAAATATAATGTAGGGATAATAAATGTGATAATTATGTACTCATCAAATACCCCCAAACCTATAATTTGCTAGTCCTCGAGCAAACTAAAATTAAAAACTAAGCATAAATGAAAACTAACTAAGCCACTTTCGTAGGGATCTCGATTGCATTTAGCGCATGCAATAAGCCTTTAAACCCCTAGGTTGCCCTAGTGGACGAGTTGTAGTCTCGTGAGGGTTTACAGGGATGATACCC